TGTTTTAAGTTCTTTATTACTGGATATTTTCCTCTTTGTTTATTTGCTTATTTATTGAATTTTACCCCCTCCCTTTTACAGTGTGAACTCCAGTTGAGAGAAGATTTCTGTCTGTCCTGTTGTTGCCCAAAACAGAGAAATGAGTGGTCAGGTGAGATTCACAAGCTATTGGTTCCTAATTCCTTGGAAGATTATCTTGATTACTGTGTATTAACTTGTAGCTCTAGAACTATTTCATCATTCAGCATTTAATTGCTCCCTATGCTCACAGAGCTCTTGCTTGTGGAGTCTTGGGACATGTCACAGCAGAGGCATCAGAAGGACCATGAAACCATTTAAAATCCCTAAGATGTACAAGATAATTTTGTTTCCACTAACTTGGAGGAAATCACTCTTTAACCTAGCACACAGAGAATTCACTTTCTGTTTGCAAATGAAAAGGACCACTTGAGGTCATCACCTAGAAAATTCAAGCTCAATTTCATGACGTCTAGGAAAGAGACACATTCAGAATGGACATCCCCACTGTCCTATCAAAAAAAAAAGTAAGATAAAAGGAGGGGAAATTTTGTTTCTATTTGTTGAGCCAGTATGACCTTCTTGATCATGTAAGTACTCAGAAATTCTCATGTTTCTCAACCTCATTCTGAATACTTGGGGTGCAGGATTCATGACTCAGCGCGTCGGTTTCTGATGTGATGGCCAGGGTCCATTCCCCAATCCCTCTCTCCAGCAAATAGCATGTGGGAATATATTTGTTTATTAGTTTTTTGCTCTCTCCTAATCAATTCAACATCTGTCACATTCCAAGCACCACAAAATTGCTGAGGATTAAGTATTAGTTGAATAAGTTCCCTGATGTGGTGCAAATAGTAACTTAATGAAACAAAGATATTAAAAAACTTTTCCTACATAGTCAGGTAGGGAAGGGGAGCTTGGTTGGAATAGATGAACTCTAGATAGGGCAGAGGGGTGGGAGAGGAAGGGAGAGGGTGAGGGATTAGAAATGATGGTGGGATATAATGGACATCATTATCCAAAGTACACATATGAAAACATGAATTGATGTGAATATACTTTGTATACAACCAGAGATATGAAAAATGTGCTCTATATGTGTAATATGAATAGTAACGTACTCCACTGTCATATATAAAAAACTTAAAAATTTGCTTTTTTATTTTCTGAGGAATGAATACATTTCTTTTTAAATCCCTCCATTTTCATCTTATTTTCCTGAAATGTAGTGTGTTTCCCAAGGTTTGGCCTCCAGCCTTAGTTTGAGCTGGCCTTATCCTGTCTCCTCTAGTGATGTCACTGAGCTTAAGACATAACTCTCCTCTCAATGTAGATACTTTCCAAATCCATCAGCATGGGACTTCCATAATAAATGTAATGATATGAGCCATTTTATTTCATATCTTATGTATCAAAATGTTTTAAGAACATCTTCATATTTGTACTCCATGGGGAGGTAAATATTATCTTATTTTTTGAAAAACAAACATTTAGCCAGGCGCTGTGGCGCACGCCTGTAATTCCAGCAGTTTGGGAGGCTGAGGCAGGAGGATTATTAGTTCAAAGCCAGTCTCAGCAACTTAGCAAGGTACTTATCAACTCAGCCAGAACCCGTCTCTAAATAAAATATAGAAAAGGGCTGGGGATGTAGCTCAGTGGTCGAGTGTCCCTGGGTTCAACCTCAGTACCAAAAGAAAAAAATAAAAAGGGCTGGGGATGTCGCTTAGTGTTTGTGCACCCCTGAGTTAAAATCTTAGTACCAAAAAAAAAAAGAAAGAAAAACAAACACTTAATGGGTGTCTACTGTGTGCAGAGTACAATTTTAGGAATATCCCACATGCTCAAGGAACAGCATTATAGTGGTGAATGTCAAAGTACTGACTTGTAGGACACAAATGAGAAGCCAATAAAGAAAACATATTCAGTGGTTGGCCTGAACTTCCTCATTTTACCCTTATAATTCTGTTTAAGTTATTAATTTTATCTCCTCTTACTCTCAAAACATTCTGGATGGAATGATAAATTTTGACTGAGTAGTTAATTGTGAGACTACCTGTGCAGGGAAGGCTTTCTGCTTCATTACAGGGAGAAGCAGAATCGTAGAGATGATGAACTACTAGTCTAAAGTCACACCATCTAAAAAAGGATTTGAACTTGGGCCTTTAAACCTTTCATTCAAATTCTTTTGGCTATGCCATGTTGTACATCCCATAGAAAAATGATACAGTTTGAGTTCAATCTTCTATGAAAGTGGTCTTTTTATTATGGGTGTCCAATAAGTTACTATTTAAATTATTATACTTGATTCCATGTGTCTCTGAGGCCTATGAAACTCTCTAGTTGTGAGTGCAGAAATAGTAAGATGGAATATTTAGTGATTTAAAAATAACATTTGAAGTTATAAATATAAACATTGTTTTCATTGAAATTTCAGGTTGCAATAGTGTTATTTTCTTTTTTTAAAAAAAAGAGAGAGAGTGAGAGAGGGGAGAGAGAGAGAGAGAGAAAGAGAGAAAGAGAGAGAGAGAATTTTTAATAATTATTTTTTAGTTCTCGGCGGACACAACATCTTTGTTGGTATGTGGTGCTGAGGATCCAACCAGGCCACACGCATGCCAGGCGAGCGCGCTACCGCATGAGCCACATCCCCAGTCCGCAATAGTGTTATTTTCATGAGAAATTTCATGTAGGCTTTCTTTACTCTGAGTCTATAACTTAAAGAAATCATGTGAATTTTGTTTGAGCCTCAACAGCAGTAAAATTCTTTATCATTTCCAAAGTGTATCATGAATATCACCATATTTAATCTTTTTTTTTTTAATTTTTAATTTTTTTTATTGGTTGTTCACAACATTACAAAGCTCTTGACATATCATATTTCATACATTAGATTGAAGTGGGTTATGAACTCCCAATTTTACCCCAAATGCAGATTGCAGAATCACGTCGGTTATACATCCACAATTTTACATAATGCCCAATTAGTAATTGTTGTATTCTGCTACCTTTCCTATCCCCTACTATCCCCCCTCCCCTCCCCTCCCTTCTTCTCTCTCTACCCCATCTACTGTAATTCATTACTCTCCTTGTTTATTTTCCCATTGAGCAATTCTTGGAGGAAAAATTATCTGGGTTAATCAATAACAAGTATTTATGGGGTTCCCACCATTCATCAAGCACCATTATAGGAACATCCCAACTTTCAACACTATTTTCCCATTCACTTAATCTATCATAATTTCAGGCACCTGCCTACATCTCTACGTATCCCCTGCATTTTCGCAGCTGAAATATCACATATTATTTTGAAAATTTCTCTCTCTTGTTAAACATCTTTTCATAGGAATACGTTAAAACCTCTGCGTGACAGGTATCCTGTTCCTCCTTTCTATTAATTAACTCAATTCAGAGACCTCCAACTAGGCCTGTGCAGAGATGGCTACTTCAGATCATGGGCGCCACCTAGTGGCCACATTCTCTCTTTGGTTTTGCACAAATGTAAACTGGTTTCAAGTTCAGATGATCCTCCACAGAGAAAAGACAACACTAGTCTGGGGCAGACGGGGTGGGGGGTTGGGGAGGGGGGTGGGTTTAAAAAATGCCAACTTTTTTCCAACAAGAAACACAAAAAGGTCCTAATACTCAAAGATCCCACCAATACAATACTCGTAGTCTCTGGAGATTCAATGCCATGACAGCAGGAAAGTAAATACGTCGCATTAACGTATTGTGACAATATTCTGTAATTTATTATCTTATGAACCAACATGCATGATCAAATGTATCCTAAACAGGCTATGGTGTGTGAATAGTTTTGTCCTATTTTAGGTATTTTTACATTCATTGCTTCTCATATTGTCTTCTTTGTGTCGCAGAACTTTATTCTTGACTCTCCGATGTTCCCTGTACTTGGGGAAGTTCATTATCTTCCCTTGACCTCTACCTCCATCTATCTTTTACATTTTTTCACTCCAGCAATAGACAATGAATGAGCAGTTGCCATTAATTATGAGGATGGTACTTCTCATTCTATTTATCCTAGATGAGGAATTAGAAAACATTGAACTTTAGTGAAAATCTGAATTCCTTTCATTGTGCATGGAATTTAGACAGAAATGCAGATTCACTGCAATGATTGCATTCTGGAATTATTAGAAAAGGCTGATAATTGTCTTAGGACAAAATATTCATTTTAGAGCATTTGAAAGTTTGATTCCAATAACACGTGATACTAGATATGGTATTCTAGAGATACAATGATGAACATGTTCTACTATATTTGATAGTACTGTACAGTGTATTTACAAATCTGTTGAAGAAGGTTAATTAATGCTAAATATTCTTACCATAATTATTATTTTTAAATACAAATTTTTACATAAAAATCCCCAAAAGTTGTAGTAATTAAATATTTTAGTTTCATGACTCTAAGTTTTCAAAAAATTACACTATTAACAATGTTTAAATATCTCCTATTTAAATTTAAATTCTAAACAATTTAAGTCCCAAGGAAATGTTTGAATATTCTACTAGTAGATTATTTTCAGTAAAATAACATGGAATAACAAGTGGACATCTTGTCTTGTTTAATTATATTTAAGGTAAAGTCTTTCAGTAATTTGCCATTATGAGCAATATAGACTGAGGAGATTCATATAGGTGCTTTTTCTTTTTTTGTTACCCTATTAGTTACTTTATTAGTTATAAAAACAGTTCTGTGGGAGATTAAGGAATGGGTACTATTAACAACAAATCATAAGGCATAGAACAAAAATATAAATAGTTCTATTTGATAATTATTTAAAATGAATTATTTAAAATACACATTACTGGTATCTCAAAGTCTTTGATGAGATAGATGAAGTACTGGTAGAAAACAAGAGACATGACTGAAAAGGCTTAAACTGTTTCAAAATTCACTATGCAATGGATTGATAATGTCTAATTACCAGAAAAAAAAAATCTTCTCTATTTAGAATTCCCAGAAGAAAATGGCAGAAGAAAATCATTCCACAGTGACTGAGTTCATCCTGGCTGGATTAACAGACAAATCAGAGCTCCAGCTGCCCCTCTTCATTCTCTTCCTAGGAGTCTATGTGTTCACAGTGGTGGGGAACCTGGGCATGATCACACTGATTGGGCTCAGCTCTCACCTGCACACTCCCATGTACTATCTCCTCAGTAGTCTCTCCTTCATTGACCTCTGCCATTCTACTGTAATCACACCCAAAATGCTGGTGAACTTTGTGACAGAGAAAAACACCATCTCCTACGCTGAATGCATGACTCAGCTCTACTTCTTTGCAACTTTTGCAATTGCAGAGTGTCACATGTTGGCTGCAATGGCATATGACCGCTATGTTGCTATCTGTAACCCTTTGCTTTACAAGGTAACCATGTCTATTCAAGTCTGTTGTTGGATGGTAGTTGGGGTGTATACTGTGGGCTTGATTGATGCCACAGCTCACATAGTCTGCATGCTAAGAGTGCTTTTCTGTGAAGCTATAATAAACCATTATGCCTGTGATCTTTATCCACTATTGGAGCTCTCCTGTTCCAGTACTTTTATAAATGAGATAGTAGGTTTGTGCATCAGTGCATTTAATATCTTTGTTCCAACCATGACAATCCTTAGCTCGTACATCTTCATCATAGCCAGCATCCTGCGCATTCGCTCCACTGAGGGCAGAGCCAAAGCCTTCAGCACCTGCAGCTCCCACATCTCTGCTGTTTGTCTCTTCTTTGGATCTGCTGCATTCATGTATCTTCAGCCATCATCAGTCAGCTCCATGGACCAAGGGAAAGTATCATCTGTGTTTTATACCATTATTGTGCCCATGCTGAATCCTCTGATCTACAGCCTGAGGAATAAAGATGTCAAAGTGGCCCTAAGTAAGCTCCTTGGAAAAATAAATTTTCTATAAAGAAAGAGTATTTTGTTTTAGAAAAAAATTTACAATTTCTGGGTGTTTGGTAATAAAATAGTCCAAAGAGCGCAATGAATATTCACAAGAAATAGAATTACTGATAGTTCTTTATTATTTGGAAGAGCAACACCAAGGTTAAATTAGGCTCCCAGGAGTAGACTCATGCAGCACAATGCCCTTCCTGGAAACTCCAGATTCCATCTACTCCAAATAACCCATATCACCTCTAAATATTTGTCAAAATTTCTTCAAATTCCTCCAGAGGATTAATAATGGTTGTTTATGTTTGTAACATAGATCTTTTCAGATAATACTCATTTAGCTTCACTCATCGAATATATATATTTGGCATATTCTTTAATATTATCAATAGTTTGTGTATTTTGCTTTTTACCTAAGTATATTGGCAAACATTTCTGAAAGTTTGAACTCTAAAATAAATAATTTATTCTATTTGGAATATAAAAGTATAATCCCTAATTCTGACAAGCATGTAGAAGTGTATTAGGGTATCTGAGTCAAATGATGGGTGATGAGATACTCCTGATCCAGAAGGAGATGGCTATGTCATGGAAGAGATAGCCAATGATAAACAAGACTGAATATAGTGTGTGTGTATGTATGTATGTATGTATGTATGTATTTATTTATTTATTTTACAAAATTCCTTGCTGGAGTAGAGATCATGCTTTTTTTCTCCATCTGTGTTTTAGAATTTCTCATTTAGAAGTGTTGTTGTTTTACTATTGCATTCATATGGGGTATTTGTTCATATAGGAAAGTTAAAATTGTACAATTTGCATTCTGACTAATGAAAAGTAGTCTTCCTAACCCCAAAATCAGTACCCATTCTTGAAAAATAAATTGTGTGAGGGAGCCAAAAATGTGACTTAGTGTCAAAAAATTCCTTTATTCTCTCATGCCCAAGTAAGTTCCTACTGATGCTCTTGAAAACAGCAGACAGAAAACTAGTTCTCCTGAGAGGTAATTGTCCCCATTTGTCAGCCTAGGTATTCTTAACGGCACCCATCAGCTGCTCGGCATCCCTGCCTTCTCCTGATGGTGGTAGTAACACAAAGGTGTTTTCTCCTACTCTCTCCCTAAAACAGTCTCAAAGATTCATGGAGACCATATATATCTGTTTTATGTAAGAGCTGCTTCTAGATGAAATGTCAGGGTTATGTTCTCTCTTACACCTCTAAGCTTCAAAGCCTTGAAAAAATGTTGCATGAAGGAGACAAGCCTGATGCCTCCAAGTAACATCATGAGCCTCTCTCTTGCTCTCTGTTATGCTATGCCCACAGCAAGCACTTGCCACTGCTTCCTTACCCAATATGAGCATTTCAAGTCAGTTACATTTGTTTCATTTTTAGAATCATTTGTCTTATCTAATGGGCATAAAACATTGTTTGTCTCTCTCTCTCTCTCTCTCTCTCTCTCTCTCTCTCTCTCTCTCTCTCTCACACACACACACACACACACACACACACACACAGAATGTTGCCTTAACCAGAAGGTGAATCAGGAGTGGTTCTGTTGCTTATCACAGATATTATTTCCTTTAAATTGTTGCTCTACTATACTACATGTTGTTTCCATACAACTGTATCCGATACTTCCTTCAGCTCCACCACCTGGCCATCAGGCAGATATCATGGAAAGGGAAGGGAATGTCCCCTGAATTTAAGAATAGTCACTGGAAAAAATGGACCTCCCTCTACCTATATCGCTTTGATAAGGACTTAATCACACAGACAGACTTGGTAGCTGAAATAGGGCTGAGAAATGCTGTGAGTATCTGGCAACGTGACAAACTAAGACTCAGGGTGTTATTCTTTCAGGAACAAAGAAAGAATGACTATCAGGAATGAACCATTATTCAATGTTTGTATTAAACCAGAGATGACTCAATTTGGTTCTCTCTAGAGTTTTAAATGTTGTATTAGCATTTCATCTACAAGGAATATTAAATACTAACATAAAAATATTCTATTTCACATCTTTTAATATCTACTAGTAAAGTACAAGCCATATCAAACAACAAAGTCCCTACAATGCCTCAAAAACTCGGCTCATTTCTAAGAACTCGGCTTCATTCTCACAGCTTTCCTACCCTGTCATAGCTTCCTGATTTCATTTTGTCTTTGGATATTTTTACACCTTTCAAACATAAACACAAGTATTTAATTCTCAGGCATTTCTTACCACCTAAGGCAATAAAATGGGCACATCTCTGGTTCATCCACATATTAAATAATGATGTCTCCACTGGTTTGACTTACCATTCATGATTGCTTATTGGTTCTACTCATAAAAATGTCTAATCTTGTGAAAAACTTGTGTACATATAAAAATTAATTTTAAATTAATACATTTGTATCACAGAAATGAAAGACAAACCGTATTTGAGAATATAACACAAGCTTATCATATTGTGAAAGAATATTCTGTTGTGTTATCTTCAATTATTAAAACTTTTGGTTACATATATATCCTATTTCTGGTCCTAAGGTTTGATCATTATTGATGAACAACATATTTTATTGGACTATAAATTATTTTACTAAATTTTTGCCCTTAAAAAGTTAAATGATAGACTTTAACAATTCCCGAAATTCCTTTGAACACCAAATTAAAGGTCCATATCTGGAAAAATATAATGAATTTCAGAGTAAATTTAATTATAAAAATAGTTCAACTTGTTTCAAAATTATGTAACATTTAATGAACATTGGATAAAAATATTAAATAAATTTTCTCCATAAGAGTTTACAAGAAAGTAATTTCTATAACCCATTTTCATTATTCCTCAAAATTTCTTTTATTTTTCATGAGGAAAAAGTTAGGGCATTTTTTCATTCTAGTCTTGTTAGGCACTTCTTGCAGGTATGTATCAATATACAGAATTTTAGCAGAGAATTAAATGAAAGCTGTTTTTATTTCATGTGTAAGAAATACTGGTTTTTGGATCTATGACATTAATTGAATACAATTAGTACAGATGAATGAAAATAGAAACAGATCTTAGAAAGTTTGCTTATATGCTGTACTTTTATATTTTATTTCAAAAAATAACTTTAGAGAATTCATTCACTGTTTCAAAATACTTCTGAAATTTTTAATTTTTAAATAACATCATAAAATTCACTAGAACTCCAACAATACTTTTCATATATTTTTTAAAATCCAAAGTCAAATAAGAATATTGAAAATACTAAATGCTTGAGAACCAAAGTGAGAAAAGAAAATCCTAATTGTTGATTATCCTCAGAGTAGGCACTTGTGGGATGAGAGTCCCGTGGGAGGTCATTATCATTGTTTGTTCCTAATTAGACTCTGATTATCTCTACACAGTACATAAAATCATCATATTAGCCAACTTTTGCTAAGTGGCAAGTGGCTTTGGGCAGGAACTTCAGCAGAGATCAGGATTAGTGATGCAAAGGATACCTTTGGTCTGATACTTCCTCAGATCATCAAAATCCTTTTCCTCCAGAGCAACTGAGAAGAAAAATACACAACACTGGACACTCTGGGAAGAAGGAAGGGTATGTCTGAATCCCAGACCTTGACTATTAGAATCTTCTGTTGCGATTTCTGTCTCAAGAGATGGGGACATGGTTGTTTATGTCTCTTCCTATTTTCATTGTAAGACTACATATCTGGTGAGCACATATTCCCATATTACCTTCCTGTCCTGTGCAGTGTGAAATCATGGCAAACCCTTTTTTTGTTTAACTGTTTAAAATCAGGCAGGGTGAGGGCTTTGTTCATTCATTTTGAATCTGTATTAACTCATGTCTGTGCTTCTTACAATAAATTTATTGCTCATCTTTTATTGAGACTTGTGATATGCAAGGCACGGTGCCAGTACTGTAATGCATTTACAATTAAGTATGGAAGAAAGGCTGTTAAATAAATCAGTGAATCCAGAATTACTACATGCTACAGAGAATCAAAATAACATCTTATGGACACACAGAATTCGATCTTATTAACTGTGGCGTCACTATTAAAGATCTTAACCAAAGGGCCTTAACTATTAAGTAGGATTTCACAGGATAACGTGAAAGAAGAGAAACAGAAGAAATAATGAGTTAAAACTAAGGGTCTACTAAAAGGTCCTTGCATGTAATAGTCACTCCATGGAATACTTGCCAAAACACAGAAGAAGAAAACCAAACATTTTCTTTGTTTACTACTTTCGCTGACTCTCATTCTGGCCTAGAACCATAATAACTTTGTCCTGTAGCATCTGCCCATTCAAGGTAGTCACCGCAGTGTCTAGTCAGTCTCTCTGACCTCATCTAGCACCCAACATTCTGAGAGCAGATACTCTTTACTAATCTCTTTATGCTGCACACCCACAACAAACATTTTGTTTATCACTATTTTAATTTGCTTTAGTCCCCAACCTAATAGTAATCTTGAATTATTAATTCCATATAATTTTATTATTATTTTCTGTATCTTTTAAATTATTCCCTTTGTGGCATCATCCAAGTTATTGATATTTAAAACTATATTCTCCCTATCTTTTATATGTATGTGTATGGATAGATAGACAGAGATAGATAAATAGATTTCTTCCGATTTTCAAAGCAATCTAAACATAATATTTCTGAATTTCTAACTTAAGATATCTCACCTTATGATTATTGTTCCCCAATTTCACCTAACTATGATATGTTGCTCTCTATGTTCATCTATACCACATCCATAATTTGTGTCCATAAGACCACTACAAAGAATTTATAAAAAAGTTTACAAAACTCAGGATTATCCCATATTTTCACTCTATTAATACAGTAAATGTCCAAAGAAACAAAATCTGCATATACTTTGTGTTTACAATGGTCAAAGTGAGAGGCAGAAAATAAAATAACAGGAAGCAGGCAGGAATGGAAGGTAGGATAGGAAATATAGGGAGTATGTTCAATAGGAATAAACATTTACTTATGCTAGATGAACAAATTCTAAAGATGTTCTTTTGAGTA